GCATTCAAGTATACCAAAGATTGCTAGCGAGAGTTCTCTTCGTTCAGTTTATATGGCAGCTGTATGCTATAGTGACCCGATCTGGTTGTTTCTTCAGAAATGGCACAGTTGCCTTAAAAATTAACCAATACAAAATTTCGTGAAAATATATACACAAATAAAAAAGTTTTCCATGCAACTATGTCATTCTGATCGATCAGTTTGTATGGCAGCTATATGATATAGTCATCCGATATCGGCTTTACCGGCAAATAATGTGCTTTTTGGTGAGAAGAAAAGAAGTGCGAAGTTCGATATCTCAAAAACTGAAAGGCTGGTTCGCCTATATACGCACATACGTGAATATTCATAAAGTGTGATGCATTTTGAGGTTTCCTACTTTTTTTAAAGAAAAACCACAGATACTTCAAATTTAGTGGGAAATGTTTATTATTTTGCGAAAGAACAATCTTTTGCATTTATTTTTTGAAGATTATCACTTTCAAATGTTGACACGACTCACGCGTGATCTGTCAAAAAAGTAGCACTACTTGGATCACCTGTTATAATACATTTTCAGTGATATTCAGTAATAACAATAACTACTTCTCTAGCATCTAGTCATTGACAATTTCCTAACGGGCTGCCATGCAACTACACACACATATACTTATACATAACCAACGCAGCATGGTAGGAGACCTTGACAGCTATTGACAGTGGCTATTAGCGTGTAAGTAGAGAAACGCAAAATTGTTGGCATAATTTACGATTAATTTGCCAGCGCTTCTTTAACCACACGCTCAAAAGCTCACATCATATGCGCGCATACAAACACATGCTCGCAATGCTTGTGATATTATTACTCATACGCCGTGTTGTTCCATAACAGATTGCAAGGCAAGGCGCGTTTTATGTTTTCCGTTGCTAAATTGACTATGAATTTGATGCGTTGCCTACTTTCATATCTGCATATTTGACACTTGAGTTGTTACTGTACACATTTGCGCAAATACTGTAAAATAATCATGTTGTAAATTTGCTCCATGAAAGTAGTAAAAGCTGTGCATGAAACATGAAAATTAAACCGAAGTTATGCGATGAAGATGTTCGGCGTATGTCTAACGAGTGCTTACTTAGGTTAGTTGTCATTTTATGGAGAAAGTAGAAGGCATTTAATTATAAATATATACGTCTGACTTTATATGAATTTTTTGACGGCTTTCAGTATAGCAGCTTGATGTATTAATGGTAGCATTCGAAATTTATAAGGGTGAGTTTAGTTTCAGCACTATTTTCATCAAATATTCCTTTAAATTATATTGTGAGTAAACGTAATTTGCTTCTTACAAGAATTGGCAGAATAAGAATTAAGATTTTCTCAAGAAAGAAGAACGAAGAGAATAATAACATATTTAGAACGGTCTGCGAAGGTCTGTTTTATTACTCAAAAATTGCAATTAGAAGTCTTTACGGAAACTATAGTTATTGAAACAGAAACCACTAAAAATCGATGAAACACTGTGAGCCTGAAAATTTATCAGACCAGAATCTTTTAATCCCCATATATGCATATAGCTGTGAGAAATAAGCGATCTTGGTGATTTAATCTTTTCGTAAATTCAGAAAACCCCTTAAACGTCTTTACTTTGTCATTTTATTTCACTACTGGCTTAGTTTTCATATTTTTTAAGACCATAGCTCTTTTTGAAGGCTCTTACGCAGCAATATGAGAAAGCTAACGCATTCCAAACTTTCCTTTTCACAACATTTGGCTACCTTGAAAACGACATTGATTGCAGAAACCCTGGGCATTTTATTTTATCATCAAGCTGAATTTGCAGTTATTAGGGTCACATAGTATGATCTCTTAATTATGACGATAATGGTGCAAATAAAATGATTTTAAAATTTTCCTCATCTTGGAATTATTATTTTGTCAAATTTAGTCTTAAAACATTTTTTGTTTTTTATTTTATTATATAAAATAGTTATTTTAAATTAAATGGCTATACAAAAATAGTACAATAAATTTAGTGTTTTTCTGACTGCAACTGAATATATCTTCTAAAGTGAGAGATCAAATTTTTTTTATTTTCGATTGAATAGGACTTGTGCTAAAGCTTTTTTCTTCATCCAAATAATTCGTAGGACAAAAGTGGCATTACTCTGTATCAGTGAAATACCAATAATCTTCACCCAAATTGCTTCAAATTGAAATCTAATCTAATCTACCAAAATTTAATATTTATTTATTTCCTCTATTTACAAAAAATATGTATACCAAAAATGCTTGTTGTACCGTTAGTAGAACACAATTTGTAGAGAAAAAAGAAAATGTTTCGTATTTCAATATTTAACTGGGATATTTTTACAGATTTTATATTCAGGAGAAGCATTATAAATTCGAAAAGTTTTTTTTATCTTATCTTTAAGATAACAAGGAGCTTAAATTGTTACAAAATCTTATTTGTAGAACAAAGCAGTATCATTGGCAATGTGATTGCTAACTCTTTTACAACTTATACAATGAAAAACTATTGTGCAAAACTTAATTTCATTGTATATAACTGTATATTTCAAATACGTATGTAGTTTGCAAATTTAAAATATTTTTGAGCAAGATTTTATATAAATACAAGCGAAAAGCATTGAAAACTGCAAATTTTCCATACTACTATACATATATGTTTGTTTAATCGTTAGTGTTTGCTTATTTCACCTGCTTCTGCGCTGTGAACCCTTCTATTGGCCAATGAATGTATTTCCGAGCATTGACTTGATATTTCTGCAACGTTGTGGTTGTTTTTGTTACTCTTCATGTATTTTTGGTTCATCTTCAATGAAAATATTGTTAAAATTTTTATCTCACACACACATGTGTCCGTGTTCGCTACCTATGTGGATGGGTGTATGTGTGTGTGTTTGTGCAGCTGTCAGCATTGGGTGCATGTTATCATTTTACTACCGTTATGCAAATGAACTTAAAAACTGATAGTTGTGTAACAGTCTGACAGACTGTCGTTTAAAATGAGCGATGGATGGGTTAAATGATGTTTCATGCAATCATGGCGCACATACACACACATACATTCAGTACATATCCACACATATAGGACACGTCTCTGCGAGAAAATTCATGTTAACCTTTACGAACCACTGTTTCTGTATTCATCTGCTGACGGAGAGTTGTGCAAAGTGTGGAGTGAAGTTGTCACATATTTTGTTCTTTTTTTAACGAGTTTTATATGTGTGTCTGTGAGTATGTGTATGGCGCTTGTATTCGTATGYGTGTTTCGACTCGTACACCTTATGTTGTTTTGACAAAGGGTTAGCAGGCCATTTCGTTGCGAGCAAAGTTTGATAGTCAAGTATCACACTATCTGTCATGTCCACTTAGAGAAATTCATTTCTTCTCCTGAATTATGTATAACATTAAGATTATAGATTTTAAGGTAATAAACTAGTGAATTTTGAAGTTTTCTATATTCTAAGCAGTAAATGCAAGCCTTCTTCTGTCGCCTGTCAAATTTTATATCACTGCTGTCAAAGTTTGAGTGACTTTTGTAGGAATGGTATTAAAAAGAGAAAGCGACAGTTTTAAAATGATGTATAGGGATATTAGACTTATAAATGATTATGAAGAACGATTTTTACCTTAAGAAATATCGATATTTTAGGAAAAAAATTTCGGTTTTTTAACTTTAGTATATCGAATCATTTTATATTTTTGGTCTTAAAAATATCGATAATTTGTAGATTTTTTATAATAAAATATAAATTTTTTATCTTTAAAATATAGAATCACTATAATTTTGTATCGTTAAAAAATCAATAAGTTATCGTTTTTTTACCTTAAAACTATCAATAATTTATCGATTTTTTTCGTAAAAATATTGAAGAATTATCGAATTATTTATCGTAAAGTAGCTGTAAATTATCGAAAATTCGATTTTTTAACTTTGGAATATTATTAGAAATATTTGTTTTATTTTAAAAATATCGATAAATTGTTAAATTTTTTACCCTAAACATATCAATTATTTAGCTAAAAAATTACATATTTTAGATTGAAATTATCGATATGTTATCGACTTTTATCGTAAAAATATTTATAAATTATCGAATGTTTTAGAGCAGAATGTCGACAATTTATCGTTATTTTTACAGACTCTCAAGAAGATACCAAAATAACGCTAAATACGTATATAAACTACTGTCCTCTTATTGGTGAAGGAACATATTGTTCTACACAATTGCATATCGTAAATTTTTGAGATTCCTTCCTCTGTCGAAACCAGAAAACGAACTCTGAAAGTTCGACGAAATAAATAATTTTTAATTTATAGCTTTTCGGTAACCTTCTGAATATTTGGGTGTAATGATTGGACTAATGATATAAAGGGAACAACAAAATTATTTAAAGAAGGAAGAAATTAGTTTAGTATTCAAATTTTAAGTAAAAACCTTGACCCGTTGCCACGTAACTCCTTCCCCAGCCAAGGGTTCGCAATTGTAAGTGAAATATAATTAAATTCGCAACTGAAATGCGTTCTGCATAATTTTTGCCAGTGTTTACGTAGTGGCAGCACGTTCATGCGTCACTCCACTGCAGCGTAATATTTCCACTGACAGATGCGAGACGTGATATGTCAGTTTAATCATAACTTCGTGTGCGATACAATATTGCATTATAGGTGTGTGTAACTGTATGTGTGCATTTGTAGGTGATTGCAGTGGAAGTATACTTAAAATGTGTGTGTTTGTTTGTGCGCTGAGCTGATTAAATGAGTTTTCTTGGTTACAAAAACAGCATATATACTTATGATTTCACTCTGCTGTGCTTACTTATGTTTGTATTAGTGTGTGTGAACCTACCACTATGAAGAGTTCTGAATTAAAGTGTGCGACAGTCACATTTAAATTAAAAAATAATATAAAATTATTGAAAGACAGCTTGTTACTGCAACAACAGGTTTTAGTTAATTAAATTTTACTGAGGAAAACAATATAATTCTCACCTTTATGTTTCACTTTTGGTCTTTAGTAGTTGATGTAATTTATTTTATATTTGGTATCTGAAATGAGAATAAGATATAAAATATGTTAATATTGTTGGAATTATTTATAAACATTTTTCTAACAAACATATATTTGATCGCTATACAAGAAGTAAGCATCTCAGTTTAAAGGTTTTAAAGCTTTTACTTCCGCCATAATTTTTAATTTAACTTCTGGTCTGGTATTCTTTAAAACCAATATGTTGTGATAAGAATCGCTTACTCAAGAAGATGCCTTTTATTTCTAATTAATATTCCAAACATTGAGGTTGGTTGAGGTTTTTTTAACTGTAAAACATTGAATAATATAAAAAAATATCGATAAATTGCCGATATTTATTTAAAAACATCGACAAATTCTTCTTTTTATAAGAAAAATATCGATAAGTTAACGTTTTTCGTGCAAAATAGCGATAAATTATCGATTTATAGTGTTAAAATCAATAAAACTAAAGAAAAAAATTAAATGGCAATAAATTTTTTTTTCAAGACGACTCCTTTCCTAGGAGCTTCCAGAGGTCAGCTGTAATTTCTTTCCAAGTAAATATGTTTGTTATTGAGTCTTAAGATATAATTAAATAATACTATAATATGTGTAATAATTTTCGGATCATTAAAATTAAAAGTTTTCTTAGCAAATATTCTGGAAAATTTGCTTTTTTCGCCAATTTAACTGTATATAACACCTATATTTAAAAATACCATAATACTCTATTAAGTATTTATTGAAAATATATTTTTACAATTTTTATAACTCACATTTCCTGAATGTAGGCAACAAAAGCATGCCAGATTCAGCTGACTTCAGTTATTCGCCGTCAATGAATCAGAAATTTAGAAAGTTTTAGTTTTGTAATTGCAATTTATTCTCTAAAGCTTTATCTATATTTTATTCCTTTTCGTAAATATTTTATTCTTTCACATAAATATTCATTGCATGAAAACCTTGACTTTTATTTAATAATATTTTTGTGAAAATTTTTCATAGTAATTTTTAGCCTCACACAGAAATTGAATTTGTCCCACTTAATGAGCCAATCAATCTTTCCGTCGTCAACATAAACCGCCCACGCAACACAAGACATAAAATCAACATTTGTGCACCAAGAAATTTACACAAATTATGTAAACTAATACGAGGTTACAGCTGAAGCTGGCATATCAAAATATCAAAAACATGAAAAGCTACGAATTTGCTGCCAAAAATCTTGATCTCAGCTGACTTTGCATGCCAATGATAAAGCCGCGACCTTTTACGCACACACTAGTGAACACATACATACACACACACACACATGCGAATATAATAAATAACAACCATGAAGGCAGTGACAATGACAACAGCGAGAGGAGTGGCAGTGATGGCAAGGCAGAGCAGGACAATAAGGCGAGCCGAGTCGGGACTAATGACGTGACGTATGGAACGGTTTTGACTTGCCACAAAGCGTTGCATAAGACAAGCAAACACAAGACACTATTGGCAATATATTTACTGAAAACAGGCATTAAACTTTACATATATGCAAGTGCATATATAACATATACGTAAATGTATGCGTGCTGATTACATGAGAGTGCAGTGTTTGCATAACCTAAATGTCTGAGGATGCGATACTTTGATGCGATTCGTTGCTTTGCGCTTCACTACATTGTCAGAGCACTACAACTACAACTACAATGGCAGTGCGAAGCAATTTTTCCATTAGTGTGTGTGTGTGTGTGTGTGTGTGTGTGTGTGTTAGTGTCAGCATAGTGACACCGCCCGGCTTTGACATGAATGGCTTTTGAACTTGTGCTCTGTTTTGTGGCCATAAATGATAGCTTCCCGTTTGACGTGCTACGAAAAAAAAAAAACCAAAAACGACAACAACGAAAAATATGCGCGAAAAACAAAATAAATAAAAATCCAGAAAATATGAAAAATCCTGTCATAAGCGCACACAGCTGTGTTGCCACCACACACACAGACTCACAATATGGCAGTGAGCAAATGGCATAACACGATTATGGCGCCATGTAGCATAATATTTGGCGTAACTAAATACACACAAAATATAACATTCGATAAAAGCATACACTCGCACGCTTGTATGTACTTACATATGTTGGGAGCAGTGTGCGCCTCGATTCATACAACAAAGATATTGATTGTCTGCTTGCATTACCATAATGTTGCTACAAGCAAGTGTTTGTTGCATAGACAAGCATACTTAAAGGCGCACACGTATGTACATACATACATGCCACAAATGATTGATGTTTAATGTTGATTGATACATATTTTCCGAATAATAAAGCGACATTAGAAGTAACTGTATTTAGATACAAGAAGCAGCATGTTCATAGGAAGCTTGATTATATCAGATATTCGAACAAATGATTTATTTAGATAGGTGAGTACTAAGCTATCGAAACAAATATGATATTATAAATATCCCCAATGTGGCCATAATTCCATTGTTCTTTGTTCAAAGTAAGCTAATCAAGATATAACTTTTAAGCGGCTAATAAAGAGTTCGACTTTAGTATTAATGTGGCAAGAGTTTATGAAAAATGTTAATGGAATATAGGAAAACGACTATGCTAGCAAATATTCCAAAATATACCTGATTACCAGTTAATCTTAAACTGTATACTAAAAATTCACAAAGTTAAATACTAACTCGATAAATAAAAAAAAAAAAATTTATTAAGTCACAAGTTTTATTTGGATAACGAGTGGAAAGTTTATTTGAAATTAAAATTTTCTTAATAAATCAATACATTATTGTTAATTTTCTTAATT